ATCTTCAAGTGTACAGTTAAATAATCATCACGTTTATGGCAATGTGTTGATTTGTTTATGAACTTACATGAAGTTAATGTGAACCTCAAGAACCAATAAATCTCCCTTATTTTTGTTGTGTCTATAAATTCATACACTATTTGTGCCGGCCAATGATGCCACTTTATGTTGTGTACTGAAACAGTCCTTTCAGCTCAAAATTTCTGGGGCTTTCTTCATAGTATTTAATGAGTAACTCCCCCCCCCCCCATGACAAAGGAATTACAATGAAAGTGCTGTTCCCCATCTTCTATAAGAGTGAAGAAACACATCGTTGTCTAATTCTTCATGTGGAGGTGTTGGCTAAGGGTAGGTTTCTTTGGGAAAATCTAAGTTTGGATTCTTAAATCCAAAAATGGATTTTACATTTCTTTAATAGTAAAATTAATCCAAGATCACTCAGATGGCACATCAAAGGAACCGAAGAATCCTTGCCCAGAGTGGATTCTTTGGTTCCTTTGAGGCATCATGATCCGAGTGATCTTGGATTAATCTATTTAGCAAAGAAATGCAAAATCCATTTTTGCTGTTAAGAATCCAATCACGGATTTTCCCAAAGAAACACACCCTAAAACTGTGTCAGATGTGGTGTAACTGAATATACATTGGAAGTCCCTTTTGAAAATTGCCTTCATGCACCTCACGTAAAACAAATTCATTTTAATCAGTGCTTTCACTGTTTTTTGAGTCATCAAGGTCCCACTGGCTTTATTGAAAAGATAGTAAACAAAAGGTTTTTGCTGTATTTTAATTCAGAGGAACATACATTATAAATTGAATTCGGTGACCCAGTGAATACAAAAGAATACCACTCAATCTCCTTTTGCCTACACAAATAAACGAGAACATTCAAAACCAAACTGCTAATGAAGCAGTGTTGAAGCTTACTATAAACTTCAAGTTTTCCCGTCCTTTTTCTTAGCTGCATATGAATCTTCTACAGAATTGGAGAATCCTCTGTTACCTTCACTAGTCAGAATACTTTTTCTTGTTATATGATTTTCTCGCACTGAATTCGTCAACATGTCCTGATTCCTTTACGTTGCGTTTTTCATTTTTTCTGTCTCTGGATTCCTTTTTTCTGAGTTGTTTTCTTTCCTCATAATCTTCAGAATTTCTGTAATTATATTTATCTTCTCTTCTGTCCAATGTTCTTTCTGAACGATTACCTCTGTCACTGTAATCCTTCCTTTCTTTATAATCTTTTATCCTTTCCTTGTAGTGACGTTCCTCCTTTTTCCTGTGCTTTGCATCTTTTGCGCTATTTCCAGAATCTTTACAGTCCTCTTCCTTGCTCTTTTCTGTGACCTCTTTCTTCTCCTTGAACTCTCTAAACTTTCTAGCAATGGGTTTAGTCTCTTCCTTCGGTTCATCAGATTCATCAGATTTTGGAATAGTTCCAGGAAGTATTCCACCCTGTTCTGTACCCTTCACAAATCTGATCAACAGTTTTGGCTTGAGAGCCGCTTTTATTCTTAAAGTGTCAGCATACTCTATGACTTTTTCCAGAGTATCTTGCTGTTGTGTAGGAGTAGAAGTCAGTTGCTCATTGTCAAATGAGACTCTTGTGTCTTCCTCCTGCATTTCATCTTCTTCCTCTTCACTACTTGATTCAGCAAAAGCAGAAGCAGTGGTCTTTGCAGGTTTGGATTTGACGCCAAACTGTACAACAGTTACACCTTTCTTCTTCACGAGACTGAAGGAAAGACCCTGTTTTGCAGGTGTGGTGCTAGTGGATGTCTCTGCCAGGCCTTGTTCCCCAGATGATGAACCCATTTTGAAGCTAAAAGGCTTCTTTGTTTGTTGATCTCCTGGTGGGGGAGGTGGTGGGGGAGGAACTGGTTCATCAGGGAGGGGTGGGGCAGGTTCTCTTGGAAGAGGGGGTGCAAAGTCAGTAGCGGGTGGGGGTGGAACTGCCTGAAAGCTCCCCCGTACTGCGATTGGCTTGAAGCCAGAGGTTGGTGCACTGGATGAAGACCTGAACACTGTATTGAATCCTGCATCAGGTCTGTTGATACAAAGAAAGAAAGAAATGCAGTTATCAGATAATTGAAAAGGATAATAATGAAAGTTTGCTTATAGTTATTGATCCCCTGCTCGATGTGAAGTAGGTCAGGCTTGAAAAAGTCTATTGTAAACAGCCATAAAGTACACAGACACTGTACAATAAGAAATCAGTTTTATTATTAGTTCACCTTCATGTAAAGAATGGTGACAAATCTTTTTGTTTGTTAAACTAGAGTTTGCCAGTTTTGGGTCAAAGGGAGAACAAAAAGGAAAAACAAAAGACTGCCAGCCATCATAAGCACTGTTCATCAGTATTATGTATGTACCAACACGGATAATAATCATTTGTTTTCATTGCTTTGTAACACGTCCTTGATCCTTGTCCAGTTAGTTATTCCTCAAGCAGTATTCTTGATTTGGAATAAAATGTGGTGGCTTAGTTTTTTGCTTTGAATGATTAATATTATTGTTAATATAATCAGTGCAGGTAGACACTCAGCGGTCTAACAAGGTGAAAGTAGCACTATCTCTATATTTGATACAACTATTAAGCAACTTCAATACACACAGCCCTAGTGTTGAGCACACTAGAGCTCTGCTCTGCACTGCTCTACAGCCCTGTTTTCATTCTTACATGTGCATATACACAGTCAGGCTTTTAGCCAGATGGATGCCCACTATTCAAATCCTGGCTTAAAGCCTGTAGACAGTTTTAAGATAAAATTCAACCATCAGTCCCAGTCTTAGTTTACTTACCTGGATTCAGTTGTAGTCTTTCCAGAAATAAGGTGAAGCCTCTGCAATTCCTTTTCCATTTGTTTCTGTTCTTTCTTCTTCTTTGCATCTACGATAATATTAAAGTCAGGAGTAATTTATTGCCTAGCAAAATTACAATATTTAGAGAGGAAGCCACATCAGCCTACACTGGTTTTCACTCAGGTCTTCTATCCAGGCTGAATTGGAATTTGAAAATGTTTTTCACGAGGGAGGAAAACCAGAAAACCCAGAGAAAAACCCTGAGAGCAAGGCAACAAGCAACAGCAAACTCAACCCAAATACGACACTAGGGCAGAATCGAACCAGGGCCACATCATTGGTGTTTTAAAGCAAGCACTCTCACCATTACACCACCCCTACTTCCCATTGGCCCCTAAATTAATGCATGTAGAGGGCTACGGGTACACTGCCCACTGTACACACTAATGCTTCATGTCAAAGAACTATACTTTCTCATACATGTAAAAACAGATAGTTCCTAGAACCTCTTGAAGGAATGTACTGAGGTTCTTACTATCGAAATAAACTATAAAATTATTTGCTATATACACTTACATATATTTCTTGTTGATTCTCTTTGCCTGAGTTCTCTGAGTCTCTGTAAACAAAAATTGGTTCAAATAAGTCCATCACTACATTATACCTGCAAATGTGTGATTAAAGTCACGACAGAAGTATGTTGACTACTGAAGGACACATTACCTGCCGATGAGCATGGTCATATGAGTTGATGTGGTTGTCATATTCTTTATACTTAAAATATTGCTTGTCACAAAGTTCACAGTAGAACATTTCTTTCAAATCTTTCAAGCTTTCCTGAATTGCTTTTTCCTTTTCCTGCTCATTCTAAGGAAATAAGCAAACAAAAATATCCAGTCATGCTGAAGCAGAGCAATTATTTACTTTTTGCTGACAGATACCACTCATTACCTCTTGATAAATACATATTATTTTATTCTAGAGTTCTTAAAACCCGGGGGTGGCGGGGTACCCTACAAAGTTTTATACGGGGAGGTTCCACCCCAAGGTCCAACCGCTTATCCTTTTGTATGCCATTTTGACAAAAAAGGTACCCTTTCATACACCTTTTATTGAAAAAAGGTACCCCCTTCACATACCTACTAAAGAACATTGCACCCCAAGTTCTCTAAACCCTTGGAATGAAGTTAATGAACAATACTACGGGAGAACATCAGGCATTACCAGAAGAGATGTTAACCAAAGAAACTAGAGTATTATCCATTCAGGTCATGGCAGGAGTCAAGATGACAGATTTCCCTACCCTATCAATACCTCAACTTGTGAAATCCCTACCCTTTTATATGCCTGAAGCCTGAAAAAGGTAGCCCTTTCGGGCAGAGCCTCCCCGTATAGGCCATTACAAGGAGTACTCCCACCCTGTGCTTAAAAGTACTTAATAATAATAATTTAATAACTTCTAGAGCACTATTTACATTTACTGATCAACAGCGCTTTACAACTTAAAACACTACGATAAAATTCAAATTTGTAAAACTAATTACATGTCTATTAATAAAATAGAATATTTATAATAATGATAATAAACTTAATTAGTACTACTAATAAGAGTGAATATCAAGCAACAAGCACTTTAAAAGCTATACGAAATAAATAAGTTTTCAGCTTACATTTAAAGTTACTTAGCAATGGACGATTCATCCAAATAAACCAACCTGATACTTTTGCTGAAGTTCATCAGTGTCTTCTTTCTCTATTTCCAATGCCCTCCTGTTGCGTGTAGCTTCATCTGCTTGCTCAAACTGAAAAAAAAATTACACCAGACGAAGGGACAGGTTTTAATGAACAGTTGAAATGTACATGTATAGTGGTATAATACATGATTAACCTGTTAATAACTAACTTATCTTTTATTTAATACCAAATAATATGGTAATTATTGAACACAATACACTTTTAATCTTGTAAATTAATTTAAATTGTGAAGCTCGCTGTATTGTCAAAGACCATAGCTAGTGATTGCAAGTCGAACACAAAATGATCTTTTCCAGTTATGCACTATCAGAAACATATTTCCAAATAAGCAGCTGTGTTTGCAAGGGGAATACGTACATAATAGCAAAGATGAATATGCTGGGTTTTGTTTTTGGATTGATAGTGTGTTAACTATAATATTTAGTGAAAAATAAAACTAACAAGCAAAACATTTCAGCCAAGTTTTCAAGATGTATGTTAATTAAAAGGAGAAGGTCACTCCAGAAACCATGTATTTTTTGTCATCAGCAATAGCAAGTCCACAGTGAGGTGTTACCTTATTTTTATCTATTAAGGCACATGTGATCCTAATGAAATTCATCTCCAAAGAAGTCCAAAATTCAACATTGGGAGATGCCAATAGGGTTCAAGGGCAGCCATTAGTTCACTAGAGCAAACAGTTAAATTACACTTGGACTGAACGATGTCACAGATATATGGCCTGGCCTTTAAGATACCGTTCAAACTGGCAGCTCCAAATGTTGAATTCTGGACTTCTTTGGAGACCAGTTTCATTATGATCATATGCACTTCAAAAGCTAAAACAACACTGAGTAACTCAACTCAATGTGAACTCGTTTTGCTGAAGACAAAATAAACGGTTTATGATGAGCCACTGCACGATTGGTTGTCTCCTTGTTTTATAAATAGACCTTCAAATGACTACTGACAAAAATGTTCAGGGCTTTAGGCAATTCTCTGGCCTGGCTGAACTGGGTGAACCAGTCCTTCCTGTGGACTAAGACCTCATACATATATACATATACTTTTTGATAAGTCATGTCTGAATGTCAAACCCCTCATTAGGGTTTTAAAAATAAATCCTACATGCTATGTACCTAATAACCTTAAGTTTACTATGTCTGAATGCAAGAAAAAAAAATACAAAATACCTCTGATGCAAGACGGCCAAGACATAAAGTATCCTCCTTCATAACAAGGGGTATTGGCTCTGTGCGACCTGTAGCAAAATACATTTGTGTGTAAATTAATTAACAAGTGCAACAAAAACTAAAAAATACCAGTAAAAAATGTCCATTTTACAAAAGTCATAACATACAGTGTAACGACAACAACACCAAACACAACAACAGTCTTTATTAATTTTGTACTCTCTCTCTCTCTTGTCTACTAATTGCAGAAAGTATAGATAATAAACTTAGAGTACTGGCTGCCTGGGATAACCATAGGGCCTAGAGGAGCCAGGCTGCCAGTTGACATCAGCATTAAATGAAAATAAATTACTATTTTCAACTGAAAATGACATGAAGCTTTTTTTTAATGATATTCCCATTCGTGACTGTCTTATAGATCTCCTTCCCACATTCTACTTCATCGGTGAAGAACAGCACCAAAAATATTGCGAATGAGGTGGCGGTTTATATTTTCATGCACTTCTTGTATTTTTGTGTCCCTCCTGACTTTGACTTAGCACCGTTGTTCATTTGAATACAAGAAAGGAACATTCCAAGTTAGTTCTGGTTCAGTCCCAACAATACAAACTGTACAATTGCATAAAAGCTTCTGTAGGTTATTTATCATTTTGTTAACCTGGGTGCAGTTTTTCAGCGTAGCGTTTCCACTGCATCAGTCACTATCCAGTGGATAGTATAGTTTGCTTTACCAATACCTATCCACTGGATATTGATTTAAAGGGGTTACATTAAGGGCCGGGGACCAGATAAACTGACTGGCTGTAAGGACAATTTTTCTTATAAAGAAGTTCAGTTCAAATAGTTTTGCCCATCTGTGAAAACCAGTTACCCTCCTGCTGAAAACATTAATGAAACCCCTGGATTTATCCAGTGAATATCATTCTGGCTACCCTTTGAACAACTGCGCCAGATCTTCGGAATCTTTGCAACTATATTGTAAATTATATTTTAGTAAAGAAATACGGTATCCAGAGCTTGATGTTGCGACCGCTGGGGTCGCCAATACCACCGATTGTTTTTACTTTTGCTGGCAACTAAATCTGAAAACTTAGGGGCCAGCTGGCCCAAGGGTTTTTTTCGTGAAAGTCAAGCCCTTGTATCTAAACAACAAAGGCCAGTCCCCTATTTTACAGACCAGCAGCTGATAATAACAGTCAGCTCAGTCAGAGTGAGATTTGTTTTGACACTATTTTAACCTGTAAGTCCCAAGAATTAAACTCTCCAAGTCGGAGAACCCCCAGTCATCTGGAGAACCACCTTGTACAGTGTAATTGCCTCAATTTAAGATCAGTCACACATGGTGGAATTTCATCAACAATCTTAACTTTAGCACAAATTTTAATAAGCATGAGGTTACCATTTCATAGATGAAATAGGTTTCTGCTTTAAACATCCCAGCTATTTGTTACCTGACATCTCTACAAGCAATACCTATGAAATCCTCTCTCTGGTGAAGACAATCACCAGGTGGTTGGTCATCAGAGGGTGCCCAGGGCACCCTTTGAAAACAGCATTTGCTGACGGATTTACCCTGGTTAAATATGTTTATATTTCATGATGCAAAGCAAACAACTGAACAAGAAAACTCTAGTGTACCTTGGTTCTTCCTTCCCAGTCCTGATCCAGTGATCCAACCCAGCCGGACCGCCATCTGATATCCAATGTTTTCCTAGATAATTATTGGGGGAATAACAATAGCCTTCAGTCCAAGGACAAATATTGGACCATATCCTGTTGTTATTCAATATTTTATGCAACGCGTCGGATCTTTTGAAAATTGGGGAATGTCACTCAGATATTTCCCCAGTTTTAGCTGGGGCATATTCAGTCACATAAAACATACTATATATTAAAGTTAATACTTTCAGTTTAATGGCTCAAGAAATGTAAATGTTGCAAGACCGTCAGCAACGGCAAACATCCTATTAGACATCTTAGATCATTACCCAGGTCTAAGCCCGGGTTGCTTGACGGAAGTTTTGAAAAGAACCCCTTGGAGGTACCAAGATCCTCTTTTGTGGGCGTGGCTTGAAATTTTTCCCACCCCTAAGAGATAACAAGTCATTCACTAAAATGACACATTACCTCCTGTCATATTTTTATTTTTTAGCTTAAAACCCTAAAAGGTATCACAAAAGCTCACACTGTGGACCTTCCGAGGCTGAAGAGCCTAGGAGATACCAAAACTGCTTTTTTAACCCCTCAAAGGTATGACAAGCATCCCCGTCCTTTATATATGGGAGCCCATCACCCCCCGGATCTAAGTTGGCATCAAGTTTTTGACTAGAAGCCTTGAGAGGAACATCAGAAAATAAATCTGGA